CGTAGGAATACATGAGATAGGAGATATGAACAAACCTTGGAAGATAGGATGCCCCACACATGCCGGGGGTCCCCTGGGAGCTTGTAAAGGCTGTTCTCAGTGTCTTTGGTTGGGAGAGGTGCTTAAATAGGGTGGATCTCTGCAAAACTATGTGGAAGGCAAATTGGTTCCCTGTATGGTCCCACCTCCCTCTGCCAAAAGATCTGTTAGGGTCTATGTCCTTCCCGGACTTCATAATTGCTAACATTTTGGTTAAGCACCTACTATGTACCAGGAGGCATGTTATGTCATTGGATCCATAGAGCAACTCTATGGGGCCAGCACTATTATTGTCCCCATTGTGCAGATGAAGAAATTGAGCTCAAGAACGGAAAAAGTAAATCCCAGAGGCCATTAGCATGGGTCACAAGATGTGACCGCACAGGCGGTCTGAGAGCAGGGCTCTCACCCTCCACCACTCATCGTGGGCCTTGGGTTGTCAGATGACCATCAATCAAACTCAGCACTTGCTGGCTGAGAGCAGCTTCTTATGCGATCCCACTCAGGATCCAGGTGAAGCACATTTTTAGAGGGGACTCTGGAAATCCAAAGCCTTCCCCCTCTACCCAACAAAATCCGCTCTGTCCTTCACAGCTCAGACAAGCCCCCTCCTCCTGGAAGCCTTCCTGATCCCCCAGCCCGCATTTATACTCAGCACCGAGCCTCCCCAACCCCTGGCACGTGAGGGTCTCAGCTCCCTGGTGTGCATCCCTCAGCCCTAGCTCTGATCAAATCTCTAAAGTAAGAGACAACTTTTGAGGGGAAGAGTTCAAATCCCTCCGCCCCCAAATTGAACTCTGTAGGGGGCAGTGTGGTAAAGGGGGTGACTGTGAACTTCTACACCACATGCAGCTGGGCTCAACGCCTGGCTCAGACACCTGCGGCACTGGGCAAGTCACTCACCCTCCCCACACCTTTCTTTATCCTTCAGTTGGAGGTGACAATACAAATATGCACCTTTCAGAATTGCACTGGTTGAGGAAAAATCGGAGGTGGGATGGCTGGCATGTTGCAGGCTCTCAATAAATGGTAGCTGGTATTTATTGTTTTTGTAAAGGCTGGCTGGCTCGCTTGCTTCATTTGGTTATTAGAACAGGATACAAATAAGAATAAAACTCAAGTCACGCTCAAGAAACTAGTACTGGAGGACTTCTAGAGCCGGATTTCTACATCGCACTCCGCGGTGGAAGGTCCTCTCGCTCCTCCCGGTCTCTCCGCCCCCACCGCTTCTCTGCTTTGCTCACAGAAGCCCCCCTGTCTGTCTTTAGGTGGTAAGCTGAGGGCAAGATCCCTCTCTTGGTAGGGAGAGAGGGGAACGCAGGTGAGTTACTGAACCAAGTAAGGTTCTCATTTTACAGTTGAATAAACCAATGCCAGACTCGAGAGGCACTGCCTTTGTCAGACACTGCTGCTTGGACACACTGGGCTCGAAAAGCTTCCACTGTGGGCGGAGGCCCTGGGAGGCCATGGCAGCCTCAGGACCGCTGGAATGGGAACCACACCTGAGAAGGTTCTGCCCGCCCTGCATTCTTCCTCTTGACTCCGTTTCCAAGCTTCTCTTCCCCTCTTGCCCTCCTCTGCCTTTATTTCTGATCTATCTATACATTTTTTCTATCCCCTTTGTACCAAGGGATCATGTTCTGCGCCAAGCCTCTCCTGGCTGTTAAGAGTCTTTGTTTTGTGTATGTGTGTGATTCTCTTTCCTGAGAGTATTGTTCTTGGAGACAGAACTGCCCTGGATTGGGCGATGGAAGGGAGGGAGAGAGAGGGCCTGGGCCAGAAGGAGGGGAGGTGGGGGCAGGGCATGGCCACCCTTTCGGAATACTGCTCCCTGGGCCCTTCAGGGCATGGGAACCTTAGGGTCATCAGGGAAGCTCCCAGAGTACAGGGCAGGGACAATTCTTCCCAAAGAGACAATTAAAGAGCAAGGTCAGGCCTTGCCTCTTGCCTGGAAAAACAGCCCCCAGCTACACAGTTACATCCCCTCCTCCAGGAATGGGACAAAGACTCCAAACCAGGCCACTGTGAGAAGTCGCCACCGGGCAGACCAGCCTTCTAGTCCAGGGTCACCTTGGCCTGTTGCCCTTTCCTCATCCAGATCCACTTTGCGCTTCTAACTTCTCGTGGTCATGACACATTGGTTATTTGGTTTCCCATTACCATCCAATGACAAGATGAGGTCAAGGGAGCCCATAGAGCCGGAGCAGCCTCCCAAAGTCTCACAGCTATGGGCTTCTGATTCCCAGTCTCCAGCAGACATTCTACAAAAGCACTGAGATGGGGCAGTTAGGGGAATGGACAGCAGTCTTCATCCCTCAGTGAGCTTGGCTGAGACACTGACCGCCGACACATGGTCCAATGGGTTTGACTCCTCTATTTAAGAAGGTGGGGCAAAGCTTAAAGAATTGTGGGAATCTTCCCCTAAATTAACATTTAAGAACATTTTTATCTTTAAAGGCACAAGCCCTTAGTAAGCAAAGAAACTTGGCTCTAGTTTTTGAAGTTTTACTGATTTGGGCTTTTTACTTAATAGTCCAAGGGGAATTTCATTCACAGTCTTTTCAGATGGGAGGGTCCCTCAGAGGGTCAGGACTCTACTAACCATATGGAAGCTTCATAAGAATTAGAAAAAGATGTCATTTCCTCAATACATATTTAGTTTTTTTAAGAAACTACTAAGTTGTTTTACAGAATGGCTATACCATTCACACCCCCACCAGCAATGTTTGAGTGATCCAGTTTCTCCACACCCTCGGCTGTTCGCACCCTTTGTTATTTAGTCATTCTGATAGGTGTGTAGTGATAGTTCACTCCTCTCCCAGGAACCTTGCAATATCTTTCTCACAATTATTATGTCCCTGTAAGCTCTGTTGGAACAGGGGCCTTCTTGGCCTGCTCTCTGTGCATCCCCAGTGCCTGGCACAGGGAGAAACCCAATAACTATTTAGGGAATGAATGCATGGCCTGTAGGGTCTCTGGCCCTTTTAAAGATGAGAAGGCAGGAAAGCAATGAGGCCTTCATTCTGGGAAATGTCCTGAGCACTTGCCAGGTGGGATTGCTCAGGAATGGCTGTGGCCCTCCGGGATAGAGGGAAAGGGGGGACAAGGGAGGAGTAGCTGGCACCCTGCATGCCTCACCAGGTCCCTGGTGCCTCCAGGCTTCACTTGGGGCACATATTGTGGGGCCTGGCACTCTTCACCTCCCCAGCTCCCACTGCATCGGCGTTCCCAGGGCAGAAACATCCAGAAGATGAATGCGTGGGGATTCCCAAAGCTCTTCCCTCTGGGATGTGAGGCTTTCGGGCTTTGGTTTTCTTCTTCGCCCTACTGTAATTGTACCAGGGTAAGAACCAGGCCATGGGCCACACTCAAGCTTTGCTCTGAGTAAAAAGGCCCTGTGTACTGGCATAAAAATGGAAGTGGCTTTTTGTACAGGTTGAATCTGCTGAGTTGGGCTGTGAGTTCTGTTGTTCTTGTCCTGGGCTTCTCCCTCCTGGTGGCTGTCGNGTGGCTTTTTGTACAGGTTGAATCTGCTGAGTTGGGCTGTGAGTTCTGTTTTTCTGTGTCCTGCGCTTCTCCCTCCTGGTGGCTGTCACTGGCCATACTTCGTGTTTAATACATACAAGGCTAAGGTGTCTCAGGGAGCTTCTCCCCATAGGGATATGTTTCCCTGAAGGTATCAGGATACAGGCATGATAAATAAACTAATAATGAGCTTGNTCAGGATACAGACATGATAAATAAACTAATAATGCGCTTGAATTTAATAACTGAATTTAAATGCTTATTTATAGGTAAAATGGCTTACAGGGATGCATAGATAGGATATCAGCATTTAGTAGAACAAAAGAGCAAGAACTGCAAATGAAAGGAAACTTCAACAACTAAGATGAAAATGGAAGGAAGGTCAGAAGGCAAAATATTTACCTTAAGGCCCCCATTCCCTTGCTGAAAATGGGCCACAAAATTCGTCTTAGATTTCCTAGTAGCCATGCCGGTTTGCTTGGGCTGCCATAACAAAGTGCCACAGACTGGATAGCTTAAACAACAGAAATTTATTCTCACAGTTTTGGAGGCTGGAAGTCCAAGATGAAGGTGTTGGCAGGGATGGTTTCTTCTGAGGCTCTCTCCTTGGCTTGCAGATGGTCTTTTCCCTGTGTCTTCACAGGGTCTTGCCTCTGTGTGTCTCTGTCCTAATCTCCTTTTATAAGGACACCAGTCATAATGGATTAGGGCTCATTCATATGACCTCATTTTAACCTTAATCACCTCTTTAAAGGTCCTACCTCCAGATACAGTCACATTCTAAGATACTGGAGGGTTAAGACTTCAACCTATAAATTTGGTGGGGATGCAACTCAGCCCATAACAGTAGCCAGTAATAGCCAAATGTTAGATGTTAGTCTGTTGTAGGAGTCAGAGGATTTGTGAAATAAACCAGAGCATTTTCTCAGCAGCAGCGCTGAGTCGTGAGAGAACATTCCCCCTTTGGCCCTTGACCCACAGACACTGTGTAAGGAAGTGGTGGACGTAGTTCACAGTGGCCGCTGAGTGTCTTGTGGCTGTCCATCCTGGTGTCTCACCATTGCACATTAACAAAGTCGAATTCAGTGAAATCATGCCCAGAGGAAGCTTACACAGCCTTTGCTAAACAGTAAACACCAACTGCCTCCATGAGAGTTCAACTCCAAGAGCCTGAGGGGTCCAGGAAAAGCCCCCATTGGTGCAGTGAAAAGCCCCAGCTTATGAGCTGGGCTCTGCACTGCAGATGGGATTTTAAAAAGCTGAGAGGAAGGGGGGCTGGATTTATGGTGGAGAGGGAAGCCTTAAGCAAAGGCAGGGGTGGTTTGGACCAGCAAGCCCACCAGCCTTGCCTCCCCGGCCCAGCATCCCGGAGCCGGGTGTCCCTTCCTGGGACCATGTCCTCTAACCCTGTTCTCCCTCTCCGCGTCCACCTGCAGGGCTCTGGCTGAGACCATGGCCAATGGCATTGACGAGCTCATCGGCATTCCCTTCCCCAACCACAGCAGCGAGGTTCTGTGCAGCCTGAACGAGCAGCGCCATGACGGCCTGCTCTGCGACGTGCTCCTGGTGGTGCAGGAGCAGGAGTACCGCACGCACCGCTCCGTGCTGGCGGCCTGCAGCAAGTACTTCAAGAAGCTCTTCACGGCCGGCACCCTGGCCAGCCAGCCCTACGTCTACGAGATCGACTTCGTGCAGCCCGAGGCCCTGGCCGCCATCCTGGAGTTCGCCTACACCTCCACGCTCACCATCACCGCCTCCAACGTCAAGCACATCCTCAACGCCGCCAGGATGCTGGAGATCCCCTGCATCGTGAACGTGTGCCTGGAGATCATGGAGCCCGGCGGCGCGGGCGGCGAGGAGGACGACAAGGAGGACGACGACGACGACGACGAGGACGACGACGACGAGGAGGAAGAGGAGGAGGAGGAGGAGGAGGAGGAGGAGGATGACGATACGGAGGATTTCGCTGACCAGGAGAACTTGCCTGACCCCCAAGACATCAACTGCCACCAAAGCCCTTCCAAGACGGACCACCTCACAGAGAAGGCCTACTCAGACGGCCCCAGGGACTTCCCGGACCCCTTCCGGGCCAGCAGCCCCGGCCACCTGGGCGTGATCCGGGACTTCTCCATCGAATCTCTGCTGAGGGAGAACCTGTACCCCAAAGCTAACGTCCCCGACAGGAGGCCCTCCTTATCTCCCTTCTCCCCGGACTTCTTCCCGCACCTCTGGCCAGGGGACTTTGGTGCCTTTGCCCAGCTGCCCGAGCAGCCCATGGACAGTGGGCCACTGGACCTGGTCATCAAGAATCGGAAGATCAAGGAAGAGGAGAAGGAGGAGCTACCCCCACCCCCGCCGCCACCCTTCCCCAACGACTTCTTCAAGGACATGTTCCCGGACCTCCCCGGGGGGCCGCTGGGCGCCATCAAGGCGGAAAGTGACTACGGTGCCTATCTCAACTTCCTGAGCGCCACCCACCTGGGCGGCCTCTTCCCACCCTGGCCGCTGGTGGAGGAGCGCAAGCTGAAGCCCAAGGCCTCTCAGCAGTGTCCCATCTGCCACAAAGTCATCATGGGGGCCGGGAAGCTGCCGAGGCACATGCGGACCCACACCGGGGAGAAGCCATACATGTGCAACATCTGCGAGGTCCGCTTCACCAGGTGCGCACGGCGGGGGCCCGAGCTGGGAGAGGGTCAGAGGCG